GTGTCAGCAGGGTTGAAAGAAGGTTTGTTCTGTCGTATTGCTGGAGGGGAGAGGGCGGGGGGTCGTGAACGTCAACTTATTTCCATTCAGAAATGAATTTCAGATAAGTTAAACAAACCTGCACTTTCTGCATCTCTGTCATCACGAGGATTGTTAAGCTTCTCTAGCAGATTGGAACACAGCTTATTCAACGTCTGGATCTGTTTCTGTTGATGAAATATAACCGGGGCGGTTGAACAATGCAAAATACACAATATAAGGCAAAGTAATATTTTACATATTTGCTTATTATTAGTAAGACGGCATTAAACCTCTCAGTCCATATGATAACTAACTGACCTGCGCCGCCTCTGGGCCAATTCGTGCCGCGTCTGCACTCAGCTGTTTCTCCTGCTCCTCCACCTCCGGATCAGGCTTGGTCCGCAAGTAGTCCGGTACAATCTCGTGGCTGAACACCGGGACGCGCTGCTCTGTGAGTTTCTGGGGGAACAAGCAGAGAGATCGCTTAGAAAAACGCCTCAAGAGTAGCAGACACGTCAGCCAGCGGCTTTGATACTCACCGCTAAATCCTCATCTCGGTCCGGGGACAGAAGCAGTGGTATTATAACCTGGTTGCGAAAGGATGGCGTCTTCTCGTTCTTGAGCAGTTTATTGATGGTGTTCAGCTGGCCAGATAGAAGAGCAAAGTTGTCCAAAACAGAGGGCCTAGATGACACAAACACACATCAAAGCATCTGAGAGGAAAACAACACTCCCCAATGAACATATTTTAAACTCATTAGGATAGGGTATCAATTTCAAATTTATCAATTCCAACGTGTGTTCCTTCAGATTCACACCATATTGAAGTAAATGCTTCATCATGTTGGAGCAGCTTCCTCCCAAGCATGAAATCTCCTAAGTGCAGGTGTTATATTTTGCTCTGTCGTTGTCGGTTTTAGTGAAGCTACGCCAAACCTTTGAGCATTTGGAATGTAAAACATAAGTACTCTCTTCTCACATGCTTTGTTGAGGTACTGCGTAACAAATGACGTGACCTTGTGCACACCAGTTCAATCGGGAGCGCGAGTCAAATATGCAATAAGTAAGGAACCGATGAGCAGAATCGGAATACGTGTGTCTTATCGAATCCACGGTTCTTTGTAAATTTGGTCACACCCAACCCTACACCTAATTGCTTTTATACAGTTAAATATCTTAATCGACTGACCCGGTAATGTGGGACACTCTGAGTGTTTCACTACCCTCCATCAGACCGACTGATACAATAATCTTTTGAAAACACTTCAGATTTCAATTTCATAAGGACAATCTGCACTACACTATGATGTTGTGTCTTTCATATAAAACAATTCAAACTTAACTTGAGAATTTGACCAGAGATGGACTTCAGATGTGTCATCAGCTGATGGAAGCTGAAACTGGCCCTCAGAATGGGACTAATGGTCCTTTGGAAACTGTGGCTGTGGTAAGGGGACAATGCAGAGGCCCTACGTTCTCATTTTAAAAGATGTGTGTACAATAAAAATGCCCAAAGCCCAACACTTCATTTACATCTGCTTATTTATTATATCATAAGAATGAAGCAAGAAGTCTTGATATAGTTATGTAATTAACTTTAACGACACTGTTGGATGTTAATGGAAACTGATACTTGTATGCGGAGAGGATGTTCCCTTTGAGTTTAAAGGCACAAACTGAAATCTATCTTCGGCATAATGCTTCACTTACCATGTCAATCGCTCGTATTCATTTTCCAACTTATAAATGAAATTGTGAAGAGCGCTTTTGACGTGTGCTACCCGAGAGATGAGAGACTCCACCGACGCCTCCAACTGCTTCTCTTCTCGTTGCTGAGTGAGAAAAAAAGACAGAGCTCTGTCCGATAACCTAAATGTCCAACACACATGAACACACCAAACATCCTAACGACTAATAACAACTTCATCAATTAAATGATCAACTTCTGTTGTTCACTTCACTGTTATGTTAACCTAACGTTAGCTGTTAACAGTTAACTTAACGTACCGAGTTAGCAAGTTAGCTACTGCTAGCTCTGCAAATAAGTAAACCAGAAGATGATCATATGAGTACAACTTCAGTGGAAATACCAGTGAGAGATATAACAAAAGCACACTGTAATTTACTATAAATACGCGTTAAAATAAACATTACCTGCATTGTTAAACCCCAAGCTAACGACAAATGCTCTAAATCAATCTGGACGTAAACACTTCCGGTTCGCGTTGCCAAAATAAAAGCAAGTTAGCTGAACTACTTCCTCTTTAGTGTTTTTTGGTGATTGGCAAACCAGCTTAGAGGTACAGTAGCGCCGCCAACTGGACTGGAGTGTGGGACGAGCGAATATGCGGAGAAAAAAACAAAACAAACAAAACAAAAACCTGGGAATTATTTTAGCAAAATCCCTTTATCCAAAAGATAATAATGTCCCAGTATATGTTGCCTTCTGTTTTCCACAAGTGACCTGACAACATAACGCCATGTTTTGCCTTCCTTACAGAGTGAAGCTGATTCCTCTTGATTTTGTATTTTCTACAGTGAAGTAGAACATGTTTCTGGTTGGCTACAGTGTGTGCATTTTCCAGTTTGGTGCTATTTTATATAGTGTATGGTTGAGACTTGTATAACCTATTTTCAGACAAGTGATTCTCTTTACTTCCTGTCATTTCCAGCCCACCACCTCCCAGCACCAACACATCTTTGTATTATATAGCTGTCTTGTTTCATTATTATCCCAATGCTCCTGCCACACTGACTGTACATATTTCCTACTTAATGTCTTAGCTCCAGCTTTGCTTAAAGCAATTTGTAGGTCTACATGCTTAATGCTAAGTGTTTGTTGGCTCCTCCACCTCCTCATTTCTCTTCACACCAACATGAGCAGGAACACAAAGGAAGCGTGTCGATAAACCCTTCCTTTCCATCCTGTACATTATAAGGAATATTTCATTGATGATAACGATTCTAAATGATGATTTGCCAGATCTTGTTGTTAGTGCTGAAAAACTGTCAGAAGCAACAACAGTATTTATTGCCTTCTCTTCTATCCACTGCAGTGCCAGTAATGTTGCCAACAGCTGTGGTATATACTGACACGTGGTCTGACACTCTTTTCTTAATATATGACTCACTCACTGGAAATATACTGCTGCACCTGCACACCCTGTATCAGGATGTTTGGAGCCATCTGTGAATACAGACACTGAGTCTGCAAAATAGTTTTGTACTAAACACCACACTGGGAGTTGCTTGGCAAGGGGAGTGACCAAGGAGGAATGGAAGTAATTCAAACTGTAATTGCTACAATCCTATGTTTTTTGCCTTTGCATCACCAATCCACCCAAAACTTATGAAACGTGTCTCATTGTAATTTCCCATCAGTCTGTTAAAATACTCTTGGCAGGATGAGTAGCACCAGAGACGTTTTATAGAGCACATAGCCGGTGGAGATTGAGTCAGTATGCCAGCATCAACTTTACTTTTCTGATTTTTAAAGTTTTTCTCCCTTTTTCACCTGCATCGCTGATACTTGAGATGTTTTGAATGATCTACTAGAAGTTCTCGGCCTGAGTTTAATACATCTAACTTTATAAGGTTTGATTCTGCCGGTGACATGTAGGCTACGCTACGCACCCACAGTCAAAGACAGATCTCATGAGTGCCCAATTTTGTAGAGATGCTCTACTTGCTCCCCATTCCTGTCCTGACAAACAACAAAGTAGCTATTGATGACCTTTCACGTTATCGAAATTAATAGTCCACGTGAGCTTTTTGGCATCCCTTGAAGAAAGAAACAAAAAGAACATTTTCCATTAGAGACAAGCTACAAAAATGTTGTGTATACTGTCAATTATAGATATATATCCTTAGAAATAAATAAAATTGGAATCAAGCAAAATCGGTGTGGTCAGGTCAGACTTAAAAAATAAAAAAAATACATGATTGGCCCAGGAAAAGTGCATCTCTTTCTCTTTTAAGCTAGACCACATAGAGTTATTTCAAATTCAACCACAAACTCTATCACAAAGCAGAATCACGAAGAGGCTCAGAATATAAACCCATTTTAGGTAGTTAGGGAGGTAGGTACATTTATTTGTCACAATATAATAAGTTAGATAGTGAAATTGAGCTTTGCAACTCCCTTCTGCTACATAGCAGACAATATACATTAATACAGAAGCAACTACAAAAATGATAAACAGAAATAAACTATATCCAATGGAGCAGTGCTGAGGATGAACCTGAGTTTAAGAGTCTGATAGCTTGGGGGGAAAAGCTGCTCTGCAGTCTGGTGGTGTGGCAGCAGAAACGTCTATATCTCTTCCCAGAGGGCAGCAGGGTGAACAGGCTGTGGCTGGGTGGGTACTGTCCTTTAGGCAGGCACCTCACTGATCACTGATGCTCAGGAGATGGGTACCAGTGACCTTCTGAGCAGTTTTAATCACCCTGCAGAGCTCTCCAGTCCTGGGCTGTGCACATCCCATGCCTGTTAGTCATGTTTCCAGTCAGGATGTTTTCCGTTGCTCCTCTGTAAAAGCTGACAAGTACTTTTCGTGTGAATTTGGCCTTCTTAAGCTTCCTCAAGAAATCCAGTCATTTCTGAGCTTTCTTCACCTGCCTGGAGATGTGAGATGACCATGTCAGGTTCTCTGTAATGCTGATTCCCAGGAGCCTGTTCACCTGCTCCACCTCAGCTCCACTGATGTAGTCTTTATCTCCTTTTCCCTTAAATCAACAATGAGCTCCTTGGTTTTGCAGTTGTGGGTGTACAGTGTGAACAGGAGGGGGCTGAGCACAGAGCCCTGGGGGGCTCCCGTGTTGAGCACTAGACTGGAGGAGGTGTGTCTGCCAATCCGAACTGACTGGGGTCTGTTTGTGAGGAAGTCCAATATCCAGTTGCAGAGATTTGAATTTAAACCCAGAGTGCTGAGTTTGCTGATCAGTTTCATGGGGAGATTGTGCTGAATGCTGAGCTGAAATCCACAAACAGCATTCTGATGTGTAGGTGTCATTTTTCTCAAGGTGTGTGGGCTGAGTGGAGGGCAGTGGAGATGGCGTCCTCTGTTGACCTGGTTCTGAAACAAACTGGTGAGGGTCCAGGCTGATTGGGATGTTGTTCTTTATGTGCTGAAGAACCAGTTTCTCAAAGTACTTCATCAGAATGGGGGTGAGAGCCACAGGGTGGTGGTCGTTCAGACTAGACACTACAGACTTTTTAGGTACAGGAACGATGGTGGCTGTCTTGAAGCAGGTGGGAACCCTCTGCTGAGGCAATGAGATGTTCTAAATGTCAGTAATAACATCAACCAGCTGGTTAGCACAGGTTTTCAGTACACAGCCAGGGATGTTATCAGGCCCAGCTGATTTACTCACATTCACTCTCAGCAGGACTCTCCTCACGTCTGCTGTGGATCCTGACAGGGCCAGTCCTCTGGAGGTGGAGTAGACGTTACAGCTGGCTCTTTGATGAGTAGATCAAAGCGAGCATAAAAGGTGTTAAGCTCATCAGGTAATGTGGCCTCACACATGATGGGGGAGCTCCTGCTTTTGTAGCCTGTGATGTTCTTGATGGCCTGCCACATATCTTTGGTGTTGTTGGTGTTGAGGTCTCTCTCCAGTGTCTGCTGATGTCTCCGCTTCACCTCCTTGATGCTTTCAGTCTAGCTCAGGCTTATCACCCGACCGAAAAGCAGCTTTTTTGGGTCTGGATAGAGCCCTCACCTCTCCATTCATCCAGGCCTTCTGATTGGGGAATGTTTTATCGTTTTAGTGGTGTGTATTGTTTTGTTGTAGGGTTGGAAATTTGTAACTGAAATAGTTTCACCACAAGCTTTGTCAAGTTGACGTCCACTAGTCCTGTAAAATTGGTGCCCGTGCTTCTAAAAGGGGCCGTGTGCTCAGATTAGTGATTCTGCCTGTGCAGTGGAAGAGTGTCCTCTGATATCTGAAGCCATGACAGCTGGCCTGCTGTTATCTGTGCACGCCTGCTACCTTTGTTCCTGCTCAATGTGTTGTTTCCTTATCTGCTGCTTTTTCTGCTTTAGTGAGTAACTTCACTTTCTTGTACAATTTCTTGTACTGCTAAGCAGGGCAAGCTTCCTAATCTAGTGTGGGTCATAGTAGTAGTTTACAGTAATAATGGTGGCAGATTTACGCTCAAAATGTGCAGAAATTGTTTAACAACAGGTTTTTGATTTCACAAGTAAACTAAGTTAGGTGTTTCTAGACACCAACCTTCGATCTTGCTGGCTGACATGATTACTGTTGCTACCAGATTTTGGTTGAAAACTCAACTTGAACTGTTAATATTTACCGCTGAGAAACATGTTAAAGGATTATAAATAACATTCTAAAAGACTAAGGCTAAAACCTACAGGCTTAATGTTGCAGGTTAGCTTGTCTGTCCTAAAACTACAACATTAAAGAAAAGTAGAATTTAAATGTTCTAGCATGACCAAGTTTGGATGCTATACAAAAACATACTGTATTGCTGGTATTTTTGAACATAAAAAAGGAAAGGTTATGAGGACAAGTGAATGACTTTGTCAAACCTAACACCGTCTTGGATAATGAGTTTCAGAGCAGCACAGCAGCCTTAACTCTGATATGGTAGCATCCAGGACCAGCCTCCACACAATGGGTGTGGCAGTCCTAAATTGGCTTTTTCTAATGTAACCGATAACTCCACAAAATAATGTAGTTAATGCAGCTAATGATACATTCTGTAACTTTGCAAGTAACGCTAGGTTACTACTGTAGGTTGTAGTCTAACTAGCTAACTAGGGGTGCAACGGCTCACAAAAGCCTCGGTTCAGATCATATCACGGACCAACTAGGATCCATTACACCACTCATGCTTTTATCCGTTCTTTACACTTTTTCTTTTTGTGTTGGATTTTGGAAAGGCAATAAAACAGACAACAGTGAAGTTCTAGCTTTTTGATACTTTCTATAAATCTGATGGTGCAGGCACACACAGTCTCTGGTATGGCACAGCTGCATCTTCACCAAGCAGGTTACACACTGTGGAAGTTGGACATGTAGTGGTATTGTACTGCAATGTCACATATTAGCATTGGTATTTGTATTGGCAAAAAAGGAATATTTTTCACAAACAATGAACATCCAGGAACACAGACATTTGTAGCTAAAACATTTTATTTTGACAAAAAAGGTGTTAGTCGTGTTTAGTGTTTCAGTTAAGCATGCAGAATAAAAATCTCACACCAACTGCCAGGCAATTGTTTTCTTCTACTGCTGATTCACAGTTCACTGCTCAGACTTCCTTCAGGCTCTTGGATGTACTTCCACACACACACACACGGTCAATTTCTTCAGTTCTTCTATTCACATTTCAAACCGACATGCCTCTCAAAGTACATGGGTGAAACGTAAACCTTTACTTGTGTCTGGTGAGTACATTCCTGTTTTCCTGAGTGTTTTTTTCACAGTTCTGGCACAGCAGTGTAAACTTAAGAGGTTCCCGGTGGCTCCTTAAAAAGTCTTAAAAGGTCTTAAAATAAAAAAGGGAAATAAAGGTCATATATCATCTTAAATCCCAAATTTGCAGTTGGTGGGTTTAAGGCCTAACATGTCTAATAAGCGTGTATTTGTTTGATTAACTAACTATTAGACAATGCAAGACTGCACCAAATAGAAGTTTTATGTTACGTTTACTTTAGCTGCAGCAGTTGACCTCCGGCTGTGTATCATATTTCAAGGGTTTAGAAGTAGTTCTCGATGTCGCCCATTTCCACAACGACAGTCTTTAGCTGGGAGTAGTACTCGATAGTCACCTGGCCGTTCTCTCTGCCAAAGCCTGGTAAAGTACAGTAGAGATCATGTAAACAAACACAGCTGGTTTTAGTGATTCACCATACTTTAATTTGGTAAGGATAACTGAGGTCACTCGCTGCAATAAAATGTCATACTGTGAATGTATTTGCATTTAAAATAACAAAGGTGGTCATTAGGACCATTTTAAGCTTTATAAAATCCTACCTGACATCTTGTATCCTCCAAATGGCACTTCCACAGGACTGATGTTGTAGTTGTTGATGAAGCAGGTCCCTGCCTCCAGGTTTGCAGCCACACGGTGGGCTCGAGAAATGTCCCTGCAGGCAGAGGAAGGGAACAGATTTCTGTTTTTAGTACAAAGTACCGAGTCAATAGTCTGTATGCATCTTATTCACAGTTAATATGCTGCTTCATCTGCCCTCCAACCACAGAGACGGCTATTGCAATGAATTCCACTCGGTTAGTGCTAAATTGATTATGGCTGTTTTGTGGAAACCCTGAACCGCAGCCAACAGAATCCAATAACCGCATTATCTTCTCTATTATCTTATCTGCTCTGCGTGTCCTCGGCTCACCTGGTAAAGACTCCAGAGGCCAATCCAAAGGTGGTGTTGTTGGCCCTCTGGATCACTTCTTCCTCTGTGTCGAAAGGCAGCACAGACATGACTGGGCCAAAGATCTCCTCCTTCACACAGGTCATGTTATCTCTGCAGTTATCTGTAGCCGGGAGAAAGGACTGTAACATATCTTGCATACTGGGACACAATATAAACATGTGATGGTATCAGTGCTAATATTGCTTAATACTCTTATTCATTTTCATTATGTCTGTACCACTACCACCTTTACTGTTGTTTTGTGTTCTGTTTTGTAGTCTCTGTTAATAACATTACAAAGAGTGCGGTCTAAACCTGATTTATGAAAAGTGCAATGAGATTACTTCTGTTGTGAAGACAAAAAATAAAGACATCCAGGAGAATAAACAAAGAGACTTACCTAGTACACAGGGTGACATGAAGTAACCCCCTTTCAATTTGGGGTCAGCGGGGACTAAAGGCTCTCCTCCACAAAGCACTCTGGCTCCCTGGAAAACAGACAAAGCCTATTACTTACCTAAGTATGAGAACTAAGATAAGTATATTCAAACTTAATTTAACTGATTTGAGGTCTAGTGAAAGCACAGCAGCTGATTCATTCTCAAATAAATGGCTCTCAACAGTTGCTCAATTCTCCAGCAGGGACCATTAACGGTTCATTCGATGTAATGATCAAAAGGGTTTTAAACACACCTCTTTCTTGGCCTGATTGACGAATCCCAGTACTTTGTCCAGTTGAGGCTTGCTGATCAGCGCTCCCATTCGGGTGCCGTCCAGCAGGGGGTCACCCACAGCGATGGCCTTAGTCCTCTTCACCACTTCTTCCAGGAACTGGGGCATGATCTCTCTCTGCACGTACACTCTGGTCCCATTGCAGCAAACCTATTAAATGCAGAGAGACATTTTAGTCTGTCAGAGCTGACAAAGAATGTATGAGCTTAACATCATACAACACAATAGGGGTGGGAGATAAAAACGGATACTTAGATGCATTGCAATGCAGACGTGGAAGATTCTGACTCGATTCTGAACTCGCGGAAGTGCAGCGGCTGTCTGTCTGTGGTGTGCACATAACACAGAGACCAGTGTTTCCCCGTATTTGGCTGTGGAATGAATCCACCCCACTAAAATGTCACAATCATTAATATCATAGCTGATATTTTATTTTATCTTGCACACTATGCGAGCATGGTGGCACTCGACGCTCGGCAGCTCTCTGTGTATCCCAAGAGTGAGGCCGAGCGAATGAGAGCGAGCGGCAGAACATGACAGTGAAAGATAGCTATGAAAAATATTAGCAGCAACTTTCAGTCTGGCAGTAAACGTGCAGTGTAGGTCACAGCTTGTCCGTTAATAAAAGTCTGTTGTTTCCCTAACTGCTGGAAAGTCTGCCCTGTACAGCACGTCTTTGGCTGTTTATAACGTTAGTTAAATTAGTAACAAAGTAATATTTATTAGCTCAGCTGTATGTCATTATTACTAACTTACTTGTCAAGGGTTGAGAACATCAGGTTCAAGCTTAGACTGGTCTACAGCTCTGTCCTGTATACATACTGTACATCCTAAAAAATATTTTTCAGTTTTAAATGCTTCACAAATCACAAATTAAGTGCATAGTAATTATCCAGAGATCCCACATAGAAAAAAAATATGCATCAAGATGCATCAATAATCGTTTTATTATCGCATCGCAGCCCTCTGAATCGTAATCAAATCGAATCGTGAGGTGCCCAGAGATTCCCACCCCTACAACACAATATATAAATGAGACAAATGTCTCACCTGTCCCTGTGTCAGGAAGTTTGCCATGAGGGCACCTTTCACTGCATTTTCCAGCTCACAGTCTTTGAAGATAAGGAGGGGAGATTTCCCTCCAAGCTCCAGAGTCACCTGCTTCACCCCCTTTGAAGACATTTCCATGACCTGAGTGACAGTAGAACACACAGGGCATTAGCAACAGGGCCGTTTGAGGCTTATGAAGCAGCAACTGAACACCATGATATTTAGTTCAAATATTTAGCCTTATATTCTCACCCACCATCTAATGGATAAAAAAAATTGCTCCGATGCAAAACTCATTTGCCAAGCCCTGCTGTATATCATTCTTCTTTGAATACATATTCAACGATGAGCATCTACACTGCCAGAATTATACAAGACAACGAAGAAGAAGAACATAGTGACGAAACATGCTCTGTAGTGCCGTTTATCTGTTTTCAGCTACTGTACAAACATGACGGCGCAACATGGTGACATCCATGGTTATGTAGACAGAAATGGCTCATTCTAAGGTAATAAAAACATTTATGCTGCAGAGACCTTACAACAATTATGTAAGGTCTTTACACACCACTGAAATCATAGTTATGGGTGTTAAACTGCATTTCGTAGAGCCACTTCAGGGGGGTCGTGTAAGCTGAGTAGACCTAAACCTGCATGACTATGATTCACGTGGTGACATACACAAACAACATTGATCTGATGCTATTACCTGTATTGTTGATGATTGACACAAATTAAATCTACTTTTGCTGGGGTGGAGGTCATGAATTTTTTTTGGCTTCTAAAGGGGGACATGTCAGAAAACGTTTGAGAACCAATGGGTCAAATCATACAAGAGCACTGGTACTGTCATTTAAATAAAAGGATCATTTTGTGTAGGGAGCAATTTGGACACTGGATACTATGATGGCGGGTCTGGGATTGTATGACACCCTTGTTGTCTTCAATTCATTTAAAAACATTATAATAAAATCATAGTACTCTGGTCTCTGTACCTTTTTGCCTGTTGGCACACTGCCAGTGAAGGAGACTTTGGCAACCATGGGGTGATGGCAGAGCAAGGTGCCAGTCTCAGCTCCGCCCTGTACCACAGAGAAGAGCCCGTCGGGTACCCCTGCCTCTTTGTAAATCTCAGCAAGAATGACGGCAGTCACAGGAGTCATTGGAGAGGGCTTAAAAACCATGGCGTTACCTAAGCACAACCAGATATAAACACTGCAAGTTACAGTACACAAGACACACATGACTGCTGGACGAACAGGCAGAAACAATCCTTCTTATAATAATATGGTAACATGCACTGTTGCTAACTCACCACACGCCAGAGCAGGAGCAGACTTCCATGAAGCGATCTGGAAGGGGTAATTCCACGCACCGATTCCCACACACACACCAAGGGGCTCCCTCCTGGTGTAAGCAAATGCTCCACCAGGAAGCTGGACATGCTGGCCTTCAGTGAACCAAACACAAAGCCACTTTGAAACAGCACAACACACATTTTCTGAACTTTTGGAAAATCACACATTTTTGACACAAACAAGTTAGTGTACCCACCAGCAAGAGTCCCGGCCATGCCGGCATAGTACTCAATGCACTGCCAGGCAATGTCAATATCCACCAGTGCTTCAGTGATAGACTTGCCATTGTTGATCACTTCCAGCTTTGCAATCTTCTCCCTTCTTTCCTGTTTGTGTTGGAATAAAAAAAAGAAGAAGCTGTAAATGCAAGACTTTGACAGAACTATTAAAAAATGTAGTTCACTGCCATTAAATGTTTATACATAGCTTTAAGATTATGCAATGACAGTGAATGAGTGAAAAATTAAGGTCGAAATCCTCGTCAAAGAAGTTCCACAGACCCACAAATGGTTTATTTTGTGCAAATGTAGGCCAGTGGTGGGGGGAGGGGCAGAGTTGTGCTTTAATGAGTAACTGGTATCTTGCTGCAAGCTTGCAAAATTTCCCCTGCAATTTATGTTGCACAATACTGAAAGCAGACCGGCTAGTGTCCAATAATTACACAACAGCTTGACCGTCTCACCCTGATAATGCGGGCGGCCTCTAGCATCACCCGAGCCCTCTCCATGCCCGCCATCTTGCTCCACTTTAAGTAGGCCGCGTGGGCGCTCTTTATGGCCTCGTCCACCTCCTCAGGCCCACAGGGCACCATCTGACACAAGACACGGCCTGCAGAGAAACCAGATGATCAACAGGTTACAGACTGTCTGAGCTCCAAGACAAAACACAAGACTGGAAGAATTATGGTGAAAACACAGTTATTACTATATTAAAACAAATAAAGGGAAAACTTTTTGTTCAGATTTTCTCTTTTAATCACAGTCATTACATTCAACTTAAAAACTCCAAAGTTACTACACCCGACCACAGAAGAAGCGCTAAGGGAGGGGTTCAGTCACATTACAGCCAATGTTGCCAACTTAGGGACTTAGGGACAAATATAGCGACTAACACTCTGGTGTGTTAGTGGAGAGTTTTGGAGACTCTGGTGTGAAAACACGCCAGCAGGTGCTGCGTGGGCCCCTCCCCCCCATCCCAAAGCACTCACTTTTGAGCCCAGTCCTCGCGCAGCAGATGTTTACCCCTCCTCGTCCACAGACTGAGAATGTACCACGCATGCGTAAATTACTTTGAAACTACATGGTTGTATATTGTCTCACTTTTTGTCTCTCTCACGACGTCATTCCTCTCTCCTACAGCGTCCCTCACAATTACATACACATGGCCAAATATGCAAAATAGGCGATTACGTTATTTATCGGCTTCTAGAGACTTTTAGGACAGCCAATAGCTAGACTTTACTTACTGGGGAGTTGGCAACACTGATTAGTGATCAACGTACAGAGTGTTCTCAGTGACACCGCTGCACAGATGTGCCACTGATCTACTATAACCTTTAAATGGGGCACTAACATATTTTTAAATGTCATATTAATACTTAAGAAGTATGAAATAATGACCCAGACTCACCAGTCGCAGGTTCAAACACGGGCTCTGCGTTGCTCTGCTGCCTGGGTTTCACTCGCTGCCCACCCCAGAAATTCAGATGATCTGTCACCACCACGGTTCCCGTCGAGGCTCCGGGCATGCTGTCGAGGATTGACTGGGCCATTTTCAGAGGGAGAGGACCTGCAAGAACACGCGGAATTACAGCAAAGCTGCTGAATTTGACTATGCAGAATAACATTCGGCACAAGGGAATTAACGTAACCCTGCGAGCTCACCGTTAGCTAACTGTTCACAGCACAAAGTTACCAAAGTGAAGCTAGCACAAAAGCACTTTGCTAAACTAGCATGAAGAAAAGCAGCACACGAAAGCTCGTGCAGCTAATCCTTACTTAAAGTAGTGGAAACAATTTTATTTTTTTTTACCATACCAAGCTTCTATGCAACTTGCCGACAGACCTGTCCGCCAGACACGTATGCTGGAGATTTGACGTCCCCAGACCTCTTTAAACTGGTGGACACCAGCCAGGACACGCCTCCTTCACAGGACCGCTTTTTCCTCCTCCCCAAAGGAGAGATCAGAAGATGGCATGTTCTTTGTTCACTTTATTCTCAACAGAGCCAAGTCAATGATACACAGAAAGACTGAAGGCTGCAAATCAGAGCCATGTAAAGACAGTGACAGGTCCAAATGTCCGCTCATATCTAGAGTTTTCCTAAAACCGCCTATCCTCTTCTTGATTCACCCCTCCCAAGAATAGCAAAGACATGACCCGCCCCACTGGGGTTAAATCAGTGTCAGCAGTATCACTTGAAATGCACAGATTCTGAGCCACAAATATTATAATAAGTTACTACTACTTATTAGAATAGTTACTAGCAACTATTTCCATTTTACTAGTGTCTGTTATTTAGGTACCAGTACCTATTCGCTAGTTACTTAGTAACCGTTCCAAAAGACACTAGTAACATTTGAATTCTTACTAATAAGAATGGAATAGTTACTAGTAACTAACAAATAAGAACTAGTATCTAATAAATCCTCATTAATATTTAACAGATAATTTGCATTGCTGAAAATGTCAAGTTGTGAGTTGGAGATGTCTTGTGTCCGAAAGTGAGTAGTAACTAAAAAAATAGTTACTAGTAACTAATAAATAAGTAACAGTAGTTTTTAAATAGCAATTAGTAAGTTTAAAAAAATAAATGTTAAAACAGCTTGCCATACTCAGTGGCCACTTTATTAGGTACACCTGTTCAATTGCTTGTTAATGTTGGATATTTTTAGTTAGCATTTGGCAAAGATGTTTAAATATACCTTATTCCTAGCTTGATTAGGATAATGTTTTCCTAAACATGTATGAGGTGTAAACTTTGAGGGGCAGATTTCTTGCTCAGCCTTGTTGCTCTCGGGCTGCGGTCTTCACATTTTTGTAAGAACACACACACACTACACATTTTTGCTAAGCACACACACAGCCGGCCAGTCAAACAGTGCTGCTAGCAGGCCCTATCAAAGGCTCAGGCAAAGGCCATCATTTAGAATTAATTGCAGATCCGACCATGGGACAATGGGGCCTTCATGGATTTTAACAAATACATACAGTACACAGCACACAAAACTGTGCTTGTGTTGATGTTGATGCTAATTTCCTCTTGTCTTATGCAAACACTTTTCGCTAATATCAAGATGATGTCTTATTTCTGATGTCATATTGTATTGTCATACGTTGTAAGGTAGTATACACTATTGTTTTAATATTGAATATGTGTGGAGGTGGAAGCGGAGGTGGGTCTGACCCTAAAAGACCCACAAGAGGAGGAGTGAAACAGGATATATATATGTAATATATGTATTGCAGAGTTTAAGGAGTCTGCTCCCCGGACCGGCTCGGTTACACATGTATTTGTTGTATTTGTTTTATTTGCTTGAAATTTTCACTAAACTTGAGTTAATCTGAACTTCACTGGAATCTGTGTCTCACTGAAAAAAAAATACCATTTACATTGAAAGAACAACAGTTCATCTAAGTCTAAGTTACAGTCACCAAGAGTATGAAGTGTGAGAGTGAGGGCCTGTTAGGCCTCTGGCCCTGTCTGAGGGTTTTTCCTCCCACAATTATTTGGGAAGCCTGAACCTAGGAGACGGCATAGAGGTCCTGGAGGCCCAGACTACATGGCTGTAGCTCAGAGCAAATGGTGGACACCAAATAAATAGCCAAGCAGAGCCATTTAATAAATTCTAATAATAATGGATCTGAGCTCAGTGTGTTTTCGCCCAGATCACAGGCAATACATGACTTTTCCTCAAAAGAATCTAGAAATTGTGATACTAAATTTAAATAGAAAATACATGTGTATCTTTATTGAATCTCTTGCATGTCTTGTTAAATGTTCTGCTGCGTGTTCTGTTGCATATGATCATTTTGAGTGAATGAAAGATTGACGTGTGAAGTTGAATGAAGGATAAAGAATTAACCCTGTGATACTGTTTTTCATGAGACCTGCGATACCTAGTTCTTTTTGAGGAGTCTGCTTGGGCAGGTAAAAGACGTTTCTGTGAGGAAGTGTTTTGGAAATGGCCTAAATGGATAGATCGTCCCTAAGAAAAAGGCTGCTTGGACAGCGTAATAAATCATTATGTTTGGATACTGCTCCTACTGTATCTACTCCATCTACTGAGACAGAGGAGGGCTGCACAGGTAGATAATGGCCAGGAGAGTGACTGTGTGTGTAAATGTGAATTGAGTGTTGATTGAGTTGTAATGTTGTTTGTGCTAGCAATTGTTGTGTGTTAATGGAGAAGGAGTCATGTGTGGTGAAGCAGGTTAGAGAAGAGGGTGTGTGAAGACTTGGAGTGGAATGAGGCAGGGTCAGAAGGTGTAATTTAGTGTGACAAGACTGAAATACAGTGCAACAAAGCATTTGAAGCTCGTGGTATTTAGACACTTAAAGTAATTGAAAAGAAATTCAATTAATGTGTTACAACACACACACACACACACACACACACACACACACACATAGAAAGGGAAGAAAAGGCACATAAATCATAACAAATACAAAGGGATGTCATCAGAAGTCAGTATTACTTCTGTGTGCAAGACAAAAATAAACAAATTAATACCTAAATTAAATTCAGTTGCGATGTGCCTGCCAATATTTATTCTTTGGTAACTGTGGATATCATTGCTGAAAGCCCATTTATAGAGTTTGTATTGAAGACTGTATCATGCATAAAATATTTATTTCCATGAGTTATAATTTAGATTTTTGACGAGATGTTTTGTGTAATTTGATTACTTTAAATGACTCCTGAGGGCATATTTAGAGTTCCTTATTAATTACTGTTTCGAATTGTCTTGAGGGGTGTTAATTAAAGGTAACTGTTTACCAGATGATTTCATCTGTAGTTATTTTGTTCAGAATTGGTTGATCTCTGATAGATCTCTGACTGAATCTTACAAACAGTAGCCTTTTTCAAAGTCTCACCCATTTTTGACTCTGAGGTCTGAAGCTCACACAGCACACACAGAAACAAGCTCCTTAGTGCTCTTCAGGATGGTTTACATACCATCTCTGTCACTGAGTGACTGTTAGGTTTGCAGGCATCAGAGCAAACTGAAATTAATCTTAAATTGTCATTATTGTTTCCCTTGGAGTTTATGAGTACCGTTTTATATGTGGTGTCCGAACGATAATGCTGCGATGATGTGTTGAGAAGAAATCCGCTTGACACTGTTCTTGGTTATAAAAGTTTATTACATCAAAGAATTCAGCATCAATTACAAGCTCTGCAGCAGCTTGGAGAGTGACCCAGCCCGATAACCACTCTGTCTCTCTGTACATCGAACACAGCTTATATAGGACATGTTTAGGTCTCTGCTAAATACCATATAAGGGCACAGTGCTGTAGAATAAGTGTAACCATCTGTTAGACACCACAGAAGGGTACTGTCCCTTCATACACACTAATCTCTTCATACACACTAATCTCTTCATACACACTAATCTCTACTCCCCCTAACACTGGGTCAGAGGTCAAATTCCATAGGAGGGTTCACTCTTTGTACACCCATCAAGCATTATGTTAAACTGTAATGGTCAAATGCACATATGTTATACACCACATATACAACACTGTTTGACTTTGTACTTTCCTCCACTCAGAGAGAGTTTGAAGCCAAATTTTGAAAGGTTTTGCCACACTGTAGGCAATGTTATATACATCAAAGAAAAAGTTAAAACATTAAAGTGTAGTATGGATTATATTTTTAGAACAAGGTGTTCTGAAACCATACCCTATTCAGTGATACATTGATTCCTAATAAAAATAGAGACTGGCACATCTGTTTACTCTGATCTGGCTTCATTACCTCATGATTCCACATGTTAAAGTGGAAAAAAATATAAATTTATGATAAGTTTTTCTTAAAATGTAACACTGCAAAAAAACAACAACAATGCATTAAAATCAATGTTGCTGCCAATCAGTGACCCATCCCAGCCCCTGAAAATAATAATAATCAAATACTCCTTGAATTGTATTGTATGGAAATTATTTTAGTTTTTTTATAAAATAACAGTGGGTGCGGGTCTTTGGCAGAATCCCAAAACCATCATCTATTTCAAGTGAATGAATGTGTAATAATCACCTCTGTACAAGCTGTTTTTATCTCCCAGGTGGACCTTCTTTGTCCTCTTTATGATCAGGTCGGGCCACGACCGGCGGGCCCCAGTACCAGCTTGAGGGCGCTTGTGCTAAGGTCAACAAAATTGCCACATATTTGGTTCTACAAAAGGAGAAAGGCTCTCTAAAGGAGTGGCCAGAGTCAGATTAACTCTGACCTAACGTAGACAGGGTCCATCAGCGTTTTTGTGCTCAACAACAATGGTAGTTGCATACCACACAGACAAATAAACCAAACCAGCGGGTAATAAACCCTCCGGACAGCTCTGACAGGACAAGTCAAGGACAGTCTTGAAAGATTTAGAAAATGTTTTTAAAGTAAGTAACAGTACTAACAGATACTTTTTGCACATTTAGCATTCTACTCTACAGGTAAATGGTGGTAATCGACCCATGATGTTATTTGGATGGAAAAGTACAAGTTTCATTTATTGGTGAGAAGTTGACTTATTTTTCTATTTTGACTGTTTTGAAAGGTCCTCATAATCAAATGATCCACAGTAGATATTTCATAGATCATAGATACGTGATGTGTTGAGATCTATGGCTTGAAAATGTTGTAAACACTACATTATAAGACTCACACCAACGGACTTTTGATTACTCAAATCTAATAATAATAATCTAATGTTTCCTTAGAGTTTCTGTTTTCAGGTTTGAAATGTATTTTGCTATCACTAGATTATTAATTACTGTGAGTAAATGATTCGTACTCAGCTAAGAATGCTACTCGACTGCAGGAATAACTAATTTTACTTATTAGTTCCAATATTTTCCTTTAGGTGTGATGGTTTAAAGTACCAGGTTACAACGGATGATCTGTACAAATGAGTTTGCTAATGGCTTATGAATGGACAAAAGAACACTCACTGTTTCCTTTTCATGTATATGTTAGTCAGTGTTTTAATATTTGGACTAACTATTTATGGTCCAATTTATTACGTATTTGAACTACACATTGCCATCCTTGATTAAAACAGCCTTGCATGCCACCTCCAGAGGAGCAGGGGGTGTGCATACGCATTAGACCTGAGTGTTGTACTGTCTGACAAAAGCACTAGGCGGGCCGAGGGGGCTGAGAGAAGCACATGTGAGGAACTCACTAGGCAGACAGTCAGAGTTGTCATGTAGGGAGTGGTTGTTTTCAAGAGCTTGAAAGGTGGAATAACGTCCCTGGATTTACTGCAACAACCCCGGTATGGACGAACTTTAAGGTCATTAAAATAGCGTTGGCCGACTATTTTGTCAGGTCCAGTGTGCAGTAAAGCTGCTGCCACGTCTGGAGGGAAACCCACTGCCATCTAATTTGGATTAATGATCACGGTGCCGAAAACTGACTCTTTCCTCTCTCTTTAATGCCCACATCTGGGACTGCCAACTGATAAGGGGAGGAAGGACGTGATGGCCATGTAAGCGCATCACAAAGTGCTGGTAACGTCTGTTCCCGCTTACCACCGAAGGAGCAGCGCTAAAGTGTAATCAAAAACTTTATTAATGTGTCAGAAATCCAGATACACACAATGACATACAATAATACTGACAAATGGATCAGATGTTACAGTGCCAATTAACAGTTAAAATCCCAAAACAATGTCTGGCATGTGATGAATACAAAGTAGATATTTGTATCCTTTGGTAATCCACATAATTAAGAACTTCCTCTAATTTCTAAGTGAAACAATCTTAAAGTTAAATAAACAAAACATGAATGAAAAAAAAAAGAAATCACAGAAGGTAGTGATACAGTAGCTGCAACTAATAATACGTTTGCTCCGATACTGTAGAAGCAGTTGTGTCTGTGTTCTGATGAAGGAGCCATGACCACACGCAGTCGCAGTGCGGAAGCTGAGCTGTTGAACCTGTCCGACAATTAGGAAAACTTAGCTGCTTGGGGAGGAGGACCCAGGAAGCCTCCGGCCTGTTTTGTTGCAGCTCTGGAGGGTGCGAGGCCGAGCATCTTCTGAATGTTCTGGAGAAAAGAAAGATTTTAGAGAGATTTTATTTTCTGGCCAAAGCTCATGAGACGTGACACACCTTCATCATTTTGAAGATTGTGATGAAGCCCCAACACTACATTTGAGAATGCGCTTGGACAGCCATCCCAATGAGCCTGGCTCTTTGGTGCTGTGGTCACAAGTTGCATGTTTAGTACCCTGTAGACCCGGCGCAAGGAATAATTATTGTATGTAGAGATTTTTGTTTCCCTGCCCATGACATCCATAGCTGTCCAGTAACACAACCCTACCCTGAGCCTAAAGTTGTTGTGTAGCAGTTACCTGTCTGATGGACATGGTGCAGAGGATGTAGAGGAAGATAAAGGAGCAGTCAGTGTAATCCTCGCCCAGCAGGTTGCGATGCGACAGTCCCTGGATGTAGGACAGTGGCACGAATGGCAATTTGGCCACTACTCTTCCATCAAAGCTGGGGGGGTGGAAAAGACAGTGGCGAGAGTTTGAGGGCATGTTTAAAGTAGTGGAATGAAGAAGTCACAGGACGCAAGATTTTAACTAAAAACCTGAGCTCTCAGTGACCACAGACTTTAAGTGATCACCATTTGAACTTTTCTCTTATTTGTTTTCATTTAGTTTGTAACTGCGTGCAACACTTACATGGAGTTGAACATGCCCATCAAAGCTGTAAAGCAGAAGCCTATGGCGAACATGGACTTCATGCGCACCTACAGGTAAAAAAAAAAAAAAGAACATACGATTAAAAATGCAAATACGTAATTAATTTACATTTGACAACACTGACACATCAAATATCACTGTTTTTTTGGATATCAATAATGTGAAAGTGTAGACATGAAATTAGATCATATGACAATCTGTTGACGGATATGAGCTTAAATATTCAAACAAACTGTCTCTCACCATAGACAAGTCTCTGTTGTTGTTCTTCAGTTTCTCCTCTTGTCTTTCTGTAATACATTCAGAAGCAGAGACCAGTTAACAAAGACCTCTGTGATGAAAATGGCTGTTCATGAGAGCAGCGGAGTGTGTCGAGGTTTTCAATATTTGTTGTTTCAACACTTCAACGCATTACTCAGCCAAATTTGTTTACTGGGGTCTTACCAATCTTCTTCTTCTGTTGACGTCCTGCAGATTCTGTGATGGTTTCCTTTTTCTTCTCAACTAATATCAAACAAGCAACAGAGGATACATTTACATTTACAGTCCAAAGAAAAACAATCAATGCAAAAAGTACAGTAGCATGAGGTTCACATACGAGTCACTTACGTTTTTTGCTTTGTTTTTCCACTTCAGCCTTTAACCTCTTGTACTTTTCAGTCCGATACACTAAAACCCAGGTAATCCCTGAGGAGAAAATCAGAAGAAGAGATTTGGTTGTAAAAAAAAAACTGGTTGGGCAACTTTTACTGTGAGATGATATACATTTTTACATTTAGTACCATCAGATTTTATTCAGATTTCCCCCAAAACATTACCGTCTCATTACTACTGACATACATTGACAATGTACTTGCAAGCACTTGTTGTATGGAGGTGTGTAACATTATATTAAGCAGTTCCCAGAACCAGCTCTACCTGTGTTGGTTCAGTCAAGCGAGTAAAGGATTAGAGATAACCCACCATAAAAAAACATTCTGCGGGCTCTTGCTTTGGTAATGACAGGCGGTTGCTAAGCTGCACTTATTTCACAAGCTTTGCTAGTCTTGGATTTCCCTGAATTAAAGAGTTTGCAATTCAGCCGATTCATTGAAACCTGATTGAGCCACAAAACAATGTGGCAAACCCTACTTTAGAAACTCAAATCAAGGAGGACAAATGCCAACTACTAAAGTCATACTATGTAGTTTATTTCTCCTTAGTTAGGATGCAGAGGATGAGTTTTTCCAAGGGCACGAATCATTTCTACCCAGTAACACACTTCTCTTCTCTTCAGACTTATTGTGGAAATGTAACCGGAAATTGTATTCCTCGTTCTGTCTAACTTCTTAACGTCAGGTATTAAGTTAGCTCGGTTGGCTAACGTAGGTTATTTAGAACCCTTCTGGTCCCCAAAAGCACCAAAATGATCAATTAATCAAAATCAATAAGGTTGACAATGTTTCCCCGCTATACAGCCCAACACTGAGTGAACCTGTAACGTAACAATGTGTCTGCTGGACCGTAGTAAAACGCCACCCTGCTGAATGCGCCTGCAGAGCTGTCAGGACTTCACTCACCTTCGGCTAACAGCGCTGTACAGACAGAGATGAACACGATCAGGATCGTGTCTGCGAACATAGTGCTCATTGTGGAGGTGTCCCGTTTACTGCCCCGTTTATCCGACGACAGAGAGAATATAAACAGTATGTTATTTGTTAGCGGTTACACCGCGAGCACATCACACGGACCGGCTCAGCTTGTAGCGCTATGTCAGCATTAGTGAAGGGATCGTCTGTGTGAAAAGTGCTTCCGGTTCACCGGCCTCACCAGAAAAAAGGATCATAAAACACATGGATAGGCTAAAGAATACAAAACAACTGTTCTAAAATAAAAACAATAAAAAATATATAATTGACACTGGGTCTTAGAGGTGTTGTCATATTTGTGGTATTGTGTTGTATTCTATTAATGCAAAAGTGGGACCTACATTTTTGGAGGACTGAAATATGAAAAATAAAATAATACTACTAATACTACTTTAATTAAATACTCGGTAGCCTATGTGTCAGCATGCTTAGTAGGCCTAATATGAAATGTAGCCCTGCTACTGTTAGGCTATATAAAGAGGAGCACCCAAAACCATGTCACAAACGTGAGGTTTTAACATTTGTATTTTTACTTTTTATCTCAAATGTGTTAATGTAAGCAATGAAATTAGGCGAATGGAGAGCTGACTTCCTAATTCCTTGGTTTAATAGCCTCGGAAAGTAAATGGACAAAGAAACAACAGTTTGTCACGGTCAGCCATGTTTTTATTCACGTTTGGCGTCATTCACTGAAGCGCTTTGAGGTCGGAAGTCGACAAATTTCAACTGAGAAATTCCGCCCTACAGCTGTGACTGGGAACCCGGCATGTTAACATATTCAGATTATTGTCACTCGCCACCATCGCTCCCAAGCGGCCGCCTCATCATCGACACCATCATCAAATGGGAGGAGCGCACGAGGAGCGCCGGCACCCCCGTGTGTCAGAGGGCCGCACCGCGCTGCAGATGAAGCATGCCGGGCGACAGCGAGACAAAGCCAGGTGACCAAGCCGAAAATGAGAGCCACACTCGGCAGCCTTTCCTCATCGGCGTGGCTGGAGGGACAGCCAGCGGCAAGGTTGGTATTTCTATAAATTCTTATTTATTGGGAAGCTTTGACTGTCTGTGTGGACCCGCACAGATGGCTTGATATGATTTGTTTTGGGACATTTGGAGATGACGTGCTATTTTTTTTTTTTCTTCTCCTGGAAAAAGATGTTTGCTTATCTAGGCCAATCATGTTTCTGTTGGATCAAGCACACTGGTTGTGCTGCTTGATCCGTAATGAGCTAGTTTAGGCCGCTCTGCGCTGCATACCAAGGATAACTTGTGCATTGTCAAAATATTGCCCGTCTAATATATTAGATGGTTAATAAAGTAGTGTGATGTATGGAAATTACACTTAAGGACTCCACTGTTCAGCGTAAGGGGATACAGCCTTAAGGATGGCAAGTGAGAGTTCAGTTAATTAGCGTCAGCTGATCATGGTCTATAAGCTCATGAAAATCAGAAACCAGAAATAAAACCCATTAATAGACCTTGAAAGCTCAATAAACAACTGTTGCATAACCAAGCAGGATCTGGCTGTTATGCAAAGGTGTGATGCTGTCTGCAGGCCTTAAAGTTCTAAATATCAAATATTCAGTGTAAGATGCCTAAAGATTTTTTATTTCTGTTGTCATCATGATCTGTGGTGTTGTTTCTGGCGAATCTGCTGATATCATACTGTTTTTCCCCCCCCATCTTTGACACTGATGTATTCGCTGACTCTGCTTGTGTGTGTCTCTCGCGCCTTCCAGATTTTTATTTCACCTCCTTTTCTGGCTCGACAATGTCCTCAGTGCCACGAGAGACTAAACACATAGCCTACGTTCTGTATCCAAAATTGTGCAGTGCCTCAAAAGGTTTTCAGGGTTGTCAATGAGTGTTGTTTCTCAGTTTGATATTTTGTTGAACAGTTGCTTTGCAGAGTAGATGTGAGCCCCCCCAAGGCAAAATCAAAGTAGGCTATTTATTTATTCTACTTAATGTGTGACAAATCTGGTTAATAAAATGTCAGAGAGGTAGTGAAGCAAGTGCAGCAGTGTAAACCTGGAAGGTAGTTGAATTTATTTATTATTTAAGTAGTCTTTTCCTTTATGTTAGTTATGCAGGTGACAGTACGTTGATTTTTTCTTTTTGAGGGGGGTGGTGGTGGTGGGGGGGTGATTTTAATCAACAAAACTTAGGCTGTGGTTCAGCAGACAGTTGTTTGTCGGTTTTGACTTCCTGGGATTACTCCCCCCCAGAGTAACTGCTCACCAAACCACCTGTTCTCCCACACGTTATCTGAATGGGGAGTTATGTGCAATCTTTTGTTTTGTGTACATGGCTGTGTTTTGTGTATGCGACTAAAGAATCCAAGTTTGCAGCCAATAGATACTGATTTCTAAATAGCAGCTATGTTTCCCGGCCACGAAGACATGCGTGAACTGCGAAGTGGAAATGTGTGTGTTGGGTCAATTTGTACTGACAACAACTTACAGTAACGTTCCAAAAAGAAAAGGGTGTGTCAAATCAGATAATAGGGTGAGTATTTTATCGTCATACTTGTTTTGCTCTTCTACTGTGTGCTAGTCATCAGTATGCAGCAAGATCATGGAAATGCTGGGGCAGAACGAGATCGACCACCACCAGAGGCAAGTGGCCATCCTCAGCCAGGACTGCTTCTACAGGGTCCTCACCCCAGAGCAGAAGGCCAAAGCGCTCAAGGGCCAGTACAACTTCGATCACCCAGGTATGTCACTCATCAAGGATAGAGGTCTGCTGGCCTGAAACTGCTGTATGTTTCCAGCTGGGAAACCTGCCCCTTTGTTGATTTAGAGGCGACTCCAGCTATTAATCTCTGTGGGATTCAGGATCTTGGTTTGAGGTTTTACAGTGACTCATTTGGCAGACGCTTTTATCCAAAGTGGCTAACATTTGAGGAACAACATACAAGCATCAAAATAGCATATTGCAAATATCAAAAAAAGCAAATATCGTGGTGATATTTTATCCTGCTAACAAAACATGTTTAACTGCTTTGTACTCTTTCCCTCTGTATAGATGCATTTGACAACGACCTTATAATCGCGACCCTGTGGGACATCAAGGAGGGAAAAACAGTACACATCCCTGTTTATGACTTTGTTTCCCATTCCAGGTGAATGGGTCCTATCAAGTCCATAGATACAACGTTGAAGGAGTGTATTTGCATGTTTTAGCCCACACACCATAGAAGAAGTCTCATCATAATGCAGCAGTAACATTAACTTTAAAAGCCGACATAATGCCCACTGTGGTGGATTAATTTCTCTACCTTTTTATGCAAATTGATTTTCATAGCACAGTGACATGAATGGAAACCAATAGCTGCCTGGAAGGCAGGAAACGCATGCATCTCTGAAACACCACAGTAAGCATTGGAAAATGGTAATCAGTAATGCAATGGACATATGTGTAAATGGTAGTAAATAGACTAAAACATGCAAAACTGGTATGGTCCCTTATTTTTAACTTATGTTTTTATGTTCTTTCTCTTTACGTATTGCACTGGAACAATTCATAATTAAACATTGGAAGCTTTAAAGCAAGTCTGTGTGAAAGAGGAAATTACAAACACTTTGTTTACAAAGAGAAAGTTAAATTCATTAGCAATAAAACACACCATTGCTCATTTTACTACACTGGGTTTTGCTGCTATCCCTGCACCCTTACTTTTGTCTGGTGTGACTATTAGCTTAAGGTGGCTAATGTTGGCAAACTTTAGGGAGATATGTCTGTAAAACTGATATTACTGAGTCAGTTTGCTGACTTTGTGAGTCTGATACTCTGTTACACTACATATTAACATTTACCATTATCATCACCACAATGGTTGCTGTTCAGCAAACATTGGCCTCGACCTAAATGTTTTTATATTTAATGTCTTTTGTATGGCAGGAAGGAAGAGACAGTGACAGTGTACCCTGCTGATGTGGTGCTGTTTGAGGGCATCCTGATGTTCTATTCTCAGGAGATCCGAGACCTTTTCCAAATGAAGCTGTTTGTGGACACTGACGCAGACACACGTCTATCACGGAGAGGTGAGGCATAGAAGCATGACTAGACAAATCCCTGCAATTTCTAAACACAAGAGGCAAGGCACTAAATTAAAGATTTAGTTAATTAAGGAAAAAGACATTTTGGAAAATATGCTAATTTGCTTCCTTGCTGAGATGAGAAGATTGCTACTAGTCATGGCTGTACAGTAAATATGACGCTTCTGCTAGCAGGTGATTAGCTTAGCTTAGCTCTAAGATTGGAACCAGAGGGAGAAAGCTAGACTGGCTCTGTCATAAGGCAATAAAATCAGCCAACCAAGAACTGCATAGACTCACTAATTAACACTTTATGCAGGAAAAACAAGATAAGTTTAAAGACGACACATTTTGGTATTATGAGTTTTTATGTCCTGGGATATTTAGTTATCAAACAAACTTAACTTTATATTTACTGTACAGGCATGAGCGTGCTATCACTTCTCATCTACAGTTACTCTTGGTGAACAAGTGTTTGAACTACTGCTATTACTTTTTAAAGATAACTGTTCACTGGTCTCATTTTTCCCCAGTGCTGCGTGACATAAGTGAACGTGGACGGGACTTGGAAAGTATTCTAGCGCAGTACATTACTTTTGTCAAGCCTGCATTTGAGGAGTTCTGTCTGCCAGTGAGTGCTGTTCCACATGTATTGTAACTCTGCTCAACTCAGTTTGTGTGTTTGTGTCTCTGAGCATCGATTCATGGTCAAACCTTTTTCCTTTTTTTTGAACGGCGCTATTTAGACGAAGAAATATGCTGATGTGATCATACCGAGAGGAGCTGACAACCTTGGTGAGTGTTTGTGCTTTATAGCAGAGATTCTTCGACATTGGAGATGATATGAAAGAAAGTGAAAACAAATGTTCGGGACAGTAGTCTAAACAGTGTTATCGTAGAGGACACAGCTGTGTTTTGTTGTTGACCTCTGAGTTGGGAGTTGGGCTCTTGAAACTGAGGAAGCAAAAGCCTTTGCTGCTGGGAGAACAAAACAGCTTTGTCTGTTGATTTGAGAAAACCATACTGTACCAACCATCCAAAACAAACTGCATAAGAAAAATCATACTGTAGCTGCTCTATCTTGAAGCAGGATACCTACCCTCACATACAGGTGAAACTCAAAATTAGCATATCGTGCAAAAGTTAATTTATTTCAGTAATTCAACTGAAAAGGTGAAACTATATTATATAGACTCATTACATGCAAAGTGAGATACTGATTATTGCGTACAGCTTATGAACCCCCCAAATTCAAAAAAAAATATAATCATGTATATGTAGCCAGTACTTGGTTTGGGCCCCATTTTGCATGAATTACTGCGTGACTGTGGCATGGCATGGATGCAGTGTGGCACTGCTGAGGTGTTATGGAAGACCAGGATGCTTCAATAGCAGCCTTCAGCTCTTCTGCATTGTTCGGTCTCATGTCTTTCATCTTTCTCTTGGCAATGCCCCATAGATTCTCTATGGGCTTCAGGTCAGGCCAGTTTGCTGGCCAATCAAGCACAGTAATCCCATGGTCATTGAACCAGGTTTTGGTACTTTTGGCAGTGTGGGCAGGTGCCAAGTCCTGCTGGAAAATGAAGTCAGCATCTCCATAAAGCTCTTCTGCTGAAGGAAGCATAAAGTGCTCTAAAATGTCCTGTAGACGGCTGCGCTGACTCTGGACTTAATAAAGCACAGTGGACCAACACCAGCAGATGACATGGCTCCCCAAACCAGACTGTGGAAACTTCACACTGGACTTCAGGCATCTTGGATTGTGTGCCTCTCCATTCTTCCTCCAGACTCTGGGACCTTGGTTTCCAAATGAGATGCAAAATTTGCTCTCATCAGAAAAGACTTTGGCCCACTGAGAAACAGACCAGTTCTTTTTTTCTTTAGCCCAGGTAAGAAGCTTCTGACGTTGTTTGTTGTTCAGGAGCAGCTTGACAAGAGGAATACGACATTTGAAGCCCATGTCCAGGACCTGTCTGTGTGTGCTGGCTCTTGATGCAGTAACTCCAGCCTCAGTCCACTGCTTGTGAAGCTCCCCCACACATTTGAATGGCCTTTTCCTGACAATCCTCTGCAGGCTACGGTCATCCCTGCTGCTTGTGCACCTTTTTCTTCCACACTTTTCCCTTCCACTTAACTTTCTGTTAATGTGCCTTGATACAGCACTTTGAGAACATCCAACTTCTTTTGCAATTACCTTTTGAGGCTTTCCCTCCTTGTGTGTCAATGATGGTTTTCTGCACAGCTGTCAGGTCAGCAGTCTTCCCCATGATTGTGAATTCCACTGAACCAGACTGAGAGACCAATTAAAGGCTCAGGAACCCTTTGCAGGTGTTTTGGATTAATTAGCTGATTAGAGTTTGACACTTTGAGCCTACATACTGAACCTTTTCACAATATTCTAATTTTGAATTTGGGGTTTTGATAAGCTGTAAGCCATAATAATCAAAATTATATCAAATAAAGGCTTGAAATATCTCACTTTGCATGTAATGAGTCTATATAATATATTAGTTTCACCTTTTAAGTTGAATTACTGAAATAAATGAACTTTTGCACGATATGCTAATTTTTCACCTGTAGGCCCAGTTTGTGCCTGTTATGTATTTCTATTGCAAATGAGTCTCGGAGCTAAGCATCGATTTAAAAACATAAAACCCAGGAATCTCTGAACATGACTAAGAGTGTACAGCCTTGTTGGAGGGGAGGCAGTGCGTATAGGCTTATCTGTGCTTTGAGCTAAATGCTAACGTTGACATGCTAACATTTCCACAATGACAATGCTAACCATGTTTGCCGTGTTCGTCATCTTAGTTTAGCATGTTAACATCCCTCTAATTAGCATAAACCACAGAGCTACTGCAGATGGGAATTTCTTTGGTTTTGCAGGTATTTTGTAAAATAAATAAAGTAAAATAAAGTATATTGGTCAAATTGAAATTTTGATCTGATGACAGCCCTAGCTGAAAAAAGCTAGGGGATCACTAAAGTCTTCAAGTTATTGTCTCGGAACCATTAGGTAGTTGCTGAGATATTTCAGTCTGGATGAAAGAGGTTACAGTTACTTCTGTTTTGGAGGGCACTAACCATCTGCATGAAAAATATTTGTCTGTTTTAAGATTTTTCATCTTTTAAGTTGTTACTGTACTTCTTAATTCAGGTTCAGAGGTGATCCGTTGTTGGTTTTTGCACAACACAATCAAAATAGGATTCCCTTATTTGGTAATGAAAATATAATAAATAAATAAATATACATACACTAACATTTTTGACATTGACCAAATTGAGCAAGAAGATATTTCCTACTACCAGTTGGGAAAACGGGTTAAAACGTTTATTTTCCTTTATCATGCAGCAGGAATGTTTTTTCATCCAATGGTTCAGAGTCTTTCACTCTGGATTTAATTTTTGGAAACTCTGAATGATGCTCATCTCTTCGATTTAAATGCGATGTTAACACGTGAGAGAACCCTGACCACATAATCTCTTTGTCTCTCTACACAGTTGCTAT